GTGAGTGAGTGAGTGTGTGTGTGTGTGAGTGAGTGTGTGTGTAAGTGTGTGTGTCTGTGTGAGTGTGTGTCTGTGTGAGTGATTGTGTGTGTGTCTGTGTGAGTGTGTCTGGGTGAGTGAGTGAGTGTGTGTGTGAGTGAGTGAGTAAGTGTGTGCTTGTGTGTGTGTGTGTCTGGGTGAGTGAGTGAGTGTGTGTGTCTGGGTGTGTGAGTGAGTGTGTGTGTCTGGGTGTGTGAGTGAGTGTGTGTGTCTGGGTGTGTGAGTGAGTGTGTGTGTCTGGGTGTGTGAGTGAGTGTGTGTGTCTGGGTGTGTGAGTGAGTGTGTGTGTCTGGGTGTGTGAGTGAGTGTGTGTGTCTGGGTGTGTGAGTGAGTGTGTGTGTCTGGGTGTGTGAGTGAGTGTGTGTGTCTGGGTGTGTGAGTGAGTGTGTGTGTCTGGGTGTGTGAGTGAGTGTGTGTGTCTGGGTGTGTGAGTGAGTGTGTGTGTCTGGGTGTGTGAGTGAGTGTGTGTGTCTGGGTGTGTGAGTGTGAGAGAGTGTGTGAGTGTAAGTGTGTGTGTGTGTGTATGTGTGTGTGAGAGAGTGTGTCTGTCTGAGTGAGTGTCTGTGTGAGTGTGTGTGAGCACGCATGTGAGCGCGCATGTGGTTCCGAGTGTGTGTGTGTGTGTGTGTGTGTGTGTGTGAGTGTGAGAGAGGGTGTGTGAGTGAGTGAGTGAGTGAGTGAGTGAGTGAGTGAGTGAGTGAGTGAGTGAGTGAGTGAGTGAGTGAGTGAGTGAGTGAGTGAGTGAGTGAGTGAGTGAGTGAGTGAGTGAGTGAGTGAGTGAGTGAGTGAGTGTGTGTGTCTGTGTGTCTGTGTGAGTGATTGTGTGTGTGTCTGTGTGAGTGTGTCTGGGTGAGTGAGTGAGTGAGTGAGTGTGTGTCTGTGAGTGAGTGTGTGTGTGTGGGTGTGTGAGTGTGTGAGTGTGAGAGAGTGTGTGTGAGTGAATGTGAGTGTAAGTGTGTGTGTGTGTGTATGTGTGTGTGTGAGAGAGTGTGTCTGTCTGAGTGAGTGTCTGTGTGAGTGTGTGTGAGCACGCATGTGAGCGCGCATGTGGTTCCGAGTGTGTGTGTGCGGTTGTGAGTGTGTGTGCGCGGTTGTAAGTGTGTGTGTGTGCGCGTTACCAGCTCTGCAGCTCAGCAAACGTCTGCTTCATCTTCTTGATGGAGGAGTCCATCTCGTCTCTCACCACGAATCTGTAGCGTGACAGTGACGCCGCACATCGCTGCAGGTCCTTCACGGAGCGATCGACGTTTGGCCCTGAGAAGACAAGCATTTACAACACCAGATCTTCACACACGTGAACACACAAGCACTTTCAACAGCGCACGAGCCCCAAAACCTTCCGCCATCAGCTTCCCGCACAGAATAAAACATCTGGTACCAGTCAGAGGTTTGGACACACTTTTCACTAATGTACGTCTGTGTGTGCTCCTTCTCCACCAGCGTTTAGCCTCATGATGATGATGACAATGTTTGAGATGCATAAAATATGTCTTTTTCTGTCACAATTTTTGTCCAGCCTAAATTTAGAGTAGTACATACAGACATATTTATGTGAAATGCACAACTTTCCTTGGAATAAAAAAAAAGGATAATGTTGCTCTCATTTTCCATTCCCTTTTACAGCACAGACTAAAAGCCACACGACGTCAGTGAGAAGCAATCCTTTAACATTAATACAGCTTATAACTTTAAGCTTCAATCCTTTGTAAAACAAGCGATAGAATAAACCGCAGACAAGGCCAAACAGCTTTCAGTCATACAAATTTCAACACAGTCACTCATTTGAACAATTAAACAGGTTATATAATGATGAATGTTTTACATTAACTTGACTCCAGTGGACTCTCTCACAGCAGAGACTTTAAACATAAGACTTCAGGTTTTATGAAGGTAGATTTAAGACCATGTGATGAAAATTTAGGGAATAAATGGAATGGAAGTCAATATGTCAATAAGGTCTCTAACTGTAAGGCTGATGATACACGGGGCAACTTTAGGCAATGTTGCTGTCAGTGGGCAACCAGGTGAGACAAAGGGCCCACGACCGATCTAAAGTATCCAGAAAGAAGTTTGTTACCCATTCTCAATGGGAACATGCTCAAGAAACTGTGCTCAAAAAAGTTGTCCCATGTATCATCAGCCTAAATGTCTTTGCTGGCAACACTTCAGAGTTTGAAAATACTGTAATATTGTACACTGCATTGAAGTGCTGTTCCTCACCAGTATTTGTGCCCTATTTTCCAGTGCAAATGTCTAAAGATTCTGAAATCAAGATACATTTACTTGAGGAGCATAATGACAGAAGATATGGTCTTGTTTTATGAGAAACTGATCAAAATGAAGTGAGTTTATGTTAAAAACAAGAACAGATCTCAGAAAGCTCAGACTCTCTGCATTAAAGCTTCTGTCCGTCTCGAGCTGCAGCGCCCTCCTGTGGTCCAAACGAGTCTTTGAGTAGTAGAGTAATAGTACTTTCACTATTATACTTAAGCATTATTAATACTTCACTATTGTTACTGGAGTATCTGTACTTTACTTGAGTTCTGATAAACTGAAAAACTATTACATCTACTATAGAAAAAAAATACAGTTCAAGTGCAGAGTAAACGAGTCAGATGATAAAGAAACTCTTACCCATCTTTCGGCCGGCAGGACCTCGCTGCGCGTCGTCGGACGGAGCGGGCGCAGAGCTGGACACAGGCCTGGTTTGAGACTTGTTATTGGTTCTGTGATGGTTCTGTCGTGCTCCGTGATTGGTGCTGGGCTGAGGAACAGGGCTTGACGTGGACAGCACACCTCCACCTGCGGCAGAGGAAAGAAGGGCGGAGTTAAACCCCAATCACTGCTCAAAGCCTGCAGGCATCACCTGCGCTCAGACAACACACCTGTGGCCTCCAAAGCCTCAGGAGCGACGGTTTCCGAGTCGAGCTCCGCTGCGTCCAGAGAGGCGGAGTCCAGCTGCTCACTCAGAGAATCCAGCGAATCACCATCGGCCGCCGCTGAACCGTTGGCATGGAAACCATTAACGGGCTCCTGACCCTCGGCGTCCGGGGTCACTTCTGCCGGAGCCACATCAGCAGGAGCATCGCTTTGTGCTTTTGGCTTCTTTTTCTTCTTGGGCTGCGAGAGACAGACCGAACGCAAGCAGCAGTTATACCATAAACATATTAATTCTTCAACTTGTGTCACACACACACTCACTCACTCACACACACTTAAACTGCAAGTTTTGTTTACGGTTTTATTTCAGGAATATTATATATCATTGGAGAGTGAAGCTTGTTCCCTCACCTTCTTTTTCCCAGTGACATTCCACTCCTTAAGGATCTCCACAGCCCCGCCTAACACACACACAGGTTACAGTCACGTCACACTAGGGACACACACTGCCTCCTATGAGACCTACATGAGGGCACTGGGTGTGTTTGTTTTTTCCCTTTTCTTTGCCAGCTTCTACAGCTATATTAATAGTTTAGTTATTTTAAAGTAAAACTCAAAAAGATCATTGTTAATTATAAGATCATTTGATTTCATCATATAATCTGATGATAAGATCATTTCATTCTTTTCTAAAAACCTCAAATTTGGATGATGTGGTTTAAAGTCTTTTTTAAAAGTGTCTGTGTGTGTTTGTACCTTCCACAAACGCCTGCACCGCTCGATCCACGCTGTTCTCGAAGTGCTGCAGCACCAGAGCGATCTCATTATTGCTCTTGTTGGGAACCACGGCTCGCACGGCGTTTATCTGACGAGAGCCGAAACATTGAGTGAGTCGAGCCCGAGATTCACAGGAAAGCGTAAAAGCACTGACATAAAGAGCACAGCACCATCATTAACAGCCAGACAACGGAAGAAAAGCCATGTGTACCTTTTCCTTCATCTTCTCGAACGATCCTCCTTGAGACATGACCATTTTCAAGTGCGTGTCGAACACCACTCCTGACACATCTGGAGAAAGAGGAGGGAGGAGAGACAGAGATTTCCACGTGTTCAGTTCTGAAACTTGACTTCAACAGCACAGAAAGTCTTGGCAGAGGATCTCGGTTAAAGCTTTTCCCCAAAAATATGTAGGTCAAGAGAAGAGCCAGAGAGAGACAGCAGCAGAACGGGGAACGAGCGCACAGAGATCAGGACGTCCCGACCAAGATCTTAATGTCATTTAATGTGAAATCAACTTCCAATCTGACACGCTTCAAATACATAAAGGTGATTAAATAAATAAAAACTCACACACTAAATGAAGTCTTTAGAAACAGCTCTCATCACTAGCAGTAAAATATAATCACAGTTCCTCTTTAGAGTGGAGTAACAGCTGAACGTTCCGGCACAAAATAAAAACATTATTCAGTTTAGTGCAACATTACAGTACGCATCTACATTTGGTTCCCGTTTTGTAGTAATGCAAACCACTAAGCAACAGATAGTTACTGAAAGTCAAACTCTCGATTATCATACTGTATGTTAACAGAAATCAGCACAGGCCTGAGAAACAGACGAAGCGTTCACACTTTCTCTTACAGTATAATCAGATTGGTTTTCACATCTTTATATGTGGTTTAATTTATTTTTACGTTCGTTAGCAGTATGTTTGTCCTTTCCATCTCGAACTATACAGGGAGTCAGAATTACCATAATGACTCCTATAGTTCATGCTCGTTCCTTTGTAATATTTTCAGTTTTTACAGTCTCACACGAGTCTGTGAAGTGGCAAATGCTTATGGTTTCCCATAATTCCCTCTTCTGTGAGGCGATATCATGCTTCGAGAGCAGACCGTAAACAAACACTAAAACAACTCTGACACGAATGTGATTTCTGTCCACCATCCAGCACAGCTTAACGGTTCACTTCTGTCTGTGCTGCTGCAGGCTGCTTTACGAGACTAGAAAACAACAATACACAATCAGTCTGTGAATATGAGACAGCTCGCATAAGGACCATCATCTCTCTTCATTCAGAATCAGTGATCTGCAGATAACCTGATAACCGACCGCTGGTTTACTATACAGTCACTCTATCAGCAGGTTTCCAAGTGAATTACAAACAGCCACACCTACGACTCGCACAGGAATCTGTGACGCTGCTAAACGTCAGCTGCTCAGAGTCGCCCTACATCGGAATGACTGGATTTCCCTCTTAACTATGCTGCCTGGTGACTCTGCTGATGCGTTTGTTGTGGATTTCCCTCCGAGCAACATTCTTGAGAAGCTGTGAAACTGATAAGACGTGCAGCCGGTCAGAAACATCGGCCATAAAGACACGCGATGCAGCGAGGCGTGGTCTGACCGGGTCAAAGGCTTCTGAAGACGCCGGCCGCTCACGGTTTACACAGCGTTCTGCTGCTTCCAGCTCCTCACCCCGCCATCAGAGTTCAGCAATTTGCAAAGTCTTCATTTGCCAAACAAAACCAGAGACTGCAGAGCGAGCGACTCAACCGCATGGGAAGCGTTAAAGAAATGTCTCTTCAAACGCAGCCTAGTCTTTGACGTGATTTGTGTTTCTACCAAAGAGTAAAAGCCTCCCAAGATCAGCATCTGAGAGAATCAGCAGCTCATGACTGCTTTTTACTTGCTTGAGAAACTTAAAACGCAAAGCTACAAACTATTAACACAAATAACACTAACGGTGCTGTCGTGTTCTCAGGTATCCAACCACAGAGACAGAGTCATTCTGATTCTGAAAGAGACAAATATAACATCAAACTACTTCAATTACTGGCCGGCCCGTCATCAAAGCATCTGCTCCGGAATAACTCCGGAATAACTCCGGAATAACGACAGAATAACGACAGAATAACTTGGGCAGTAGTATATTTTTATTTAATGCCATGTCAGCATCTTTGGCTATTTTCATGGCAAAAACAATTTAAAAAAACACTAGTATAACAAATACAATAAAAAGCAGCAAACAAACAAGTTATATTACATAAGATTTTTTACATTAACATATGATAAAAATTCTAAACCTTTTTCTGGCAAAATTATACTAAGTACTCTTTAAGTGAGTTCACTTCATAAAAGAGTTTTCTACATACATTAAAAGCGGGACAGTCCAATAAAATAAGTTTGACAGAAAGAGGAATCATGCAGAACATGTATTGAGTAGGGTCTTCAGCTTTAAGCAAAAATGCATGAGTCAGTCTTGTATGACCTGTGTGACATCTGGTAAATACCACTCGATCAAATCTAGTTTTACAAGAGATTAAAAATCTGTTTGAAATTTCCGGATGCATTTGATTCATGAAAAAGACATGATTCAGATAGAACAGCTACAGTTACAAAATAAAGCAATAATCCCCGTGAAGCCGTGGTTTCTGCGAAGTGGAGTGCCTAACAACGCCCCTTAGCTGTTATAAATTCACTGTAAACCACGGCTTCACTGGGATTATTGCTTTTATAAAACGGTTATTCCATATACGTAGTAAGATTTCACAAAATAAAACAAAGCAAATAAAGTGTAATGATATTAATAAAAACAGTATTCTTCCACCAAACAACGTAATTCCTCAGGCCCGGTTTACACTAGTGCGTTTTCGTTTTAAAACGGCATTTTAGAATGAAAACGATCTCCGTTTACACTACACAACCGAAAGCGCATGTCACATGACCATTCATGCAGGTACAACCATAGATATGTATAGGTAGATTCCCTATTATTTAAATGGCAGACACGACATGCTTGGAGCGGGCGAATGGGGAATCTACCTTTACAGGGCTCGCAAAATCTCTACGTCTCGGGGCTATTGTGTTTTCCAGTTGGGCTACTAAAATGTATCACTGCCCTGCCCGACGGGCTACCTGTAAGTAATGTACTGTACTGTACTGTAATGTAGTGTACATGTAATGTACCCTGCCCGACGGGCTACCTTGAATCTTCCTTGACTACCTAATCCCTTCCTTGATTCGCGTCGCTTGTAGGGGTGAGACGGATCATAGTTTATCATTTACACGTGTCTTAGGGTTAGGCTTAGTCTTAGTCTTACCAATTTAAACATTCAAGCGTTTTAAACCATGCACATGAAGTATTCAGTTCGGTGCTCGCGCGCACATACAGAGCGGCGTTTCAGGCAGAGCACAAACACAGAATTAATTCCTCTTTCGCTCGAACGGACACATACACGCAAAATTATCTCAAAATAACTATCTCGGCAAGTATTTTCATGTCTTAAATGAATGTAAACAGTGGAGAAAGAAATCGCACATGCATCATTATATTGGATCCGTGCATTTCGTTTTCCGAAAAACGAGAATTCAGCTTAAATTTACGTTTTTTCGTTCATGGGTGGAAAAATGAATAAACAGCTTGAATATTCCATTTCTACATGTGGGCGTGAATTAAACGCCCCTTTCTGCTGATTGGTCAGCCGAAGATCAAACCGTGCCGTCATCAGTTCTTCTGCAGTATCACGCAGCAGAATAATAGTCCTCCGCTGCTGCAGTTGTACAGATTAATAACACATTTGATCAATTTCATATTTTTCATCAAACAAACAGACTAATGAATAGCTGGACACAACTGGTACCGGGGCAGAGTTTAGACAGGGCTTCTTCTGTGTAGACCAGCGGTTCTTAAAGTGATAGGGGGCCCGAGAAATAATTAGCTATAGCCTAAAGTATTTCCAGACTGTAAAGTCGCTTTTTTATCATGATACATAGGCCTACTGTGATTTATTCCAAAGTGACTTATATGATGCATTTAATGTAAAATAATCTAGACGGAGAAAAAAAACGAATACTAAAAGACGAGTATTCGCTGTGGCTGATGTTTGTGGCATGCGCCTAAAGATGCTCAAGGAGACCGAGATGCGCTAAAGCAGCGCATTCTGTTGTTCTCTTTATTTTTCAAAGGCATGACGCTTTGTAGTTATTTTGAAAGTAACGTTACAATTAAAATATACATTTTACCATACGACTATAAATATTAAGTTAGTATTAAGTTATTTCCTCTTAGTGTTTAAAATATTTATTTTGAAACAAATTAATTAAATTCTTAATTAAACAAACAGACTTACTGGGTGAGCAGGGTAGGCTATGACAGCTGTCATATCATACCCTGCCATGCCCAGCTGAAGCAAAGAATATAATTTATATCTACACAGAAGAAAGCCATGTCTAGACTCTGCCCTGGTATGAGTTGTGTCGAGCTATTCATTAGCCTGTTTGTTTGATGAAAAAAAGATTAAATGTAGTTGCGATAAATGGGTTATTAATCTGTACAGCTGCAGCAGTGGAGGACTATTATTCTGCTGCATGATACTGTGGAAGAACTGATGATGGCACTGGTTGATCTTCAGCTGACCAATCAGCACAAAGGGGCGTTTAATTCCCGCCCACGTGTAGAAATCAAATATTCAAGCTGTTTATTCATTTTCCCACCCATGAACGAAAAACTAAAATTTAAGCCGAATTCTCGTTTCTCATTTTTTGGGAAAAAAATTAAAAACGGAAAAGGAGCCGTTTTCTAATTTTTCTACTTTCAATATTAAATCAAAAAACGAATGATCGAATGATACACGGATTAGCATGTTTGTTTGGATCGTGATTAAAATACACAGGCAAAACTTAGTTTATTGCATGGAGAAATTTCTTTTATTTGTATTTATTTATTTGATGTGGGATTTGTTTTAAAATGTCAAGTTAGTATGTTGTTTGACATTTTAAATTTCACAAAGTAATGTGCAGCCTTCTGGTCTGAGAAATAACAAAAGGACACCTTTTTTAAAGTCTGTCTTAAATATCATTTTGTTAAAAAAGAAATTGTGAGAATTTTATTGTGAAATCAGTATCGTGAATATCATCACATATCATCACACACAGTGAATCGTTACATCCCTATATGCTACTAGTTTTTGCTGTGGTATCGTAGCAGTACATTTTTCTTAAAATAATAAGTGTTACTTAAATAATAAAGAAAAATGATCCGATATGTGACTCAAAATGTCTTATGATAATGTAATATAATCCGAACCGTGAGATTTGTGATCCGTAACTTGCACCCTTACTCTCTTCACTTGTTATTTGAAGAAAAAATACAATATCTTTTATTCGGGCTAGTTAAATTCATTTTTGGGCTACTAAAATCTGAAGAATGCCGGCCCGAAGGGCTACCAGGGATTTTGAAATTTTGCGAGCCCTGCTTTACAGATCTATAGGTACAACAATGAGCATACGGTTTACACGGTCATCAAAGATACGCAGAGAGCATGTGGGCAGCTACGCCATCGTTTCAAAAGTCTCTGTTTTGGTCGATATATATACGGTTTAGGTCGCAGATATATATACGGTTTAGGTCGCAGATATATATACGGTTTTGGTCGCAGATATATATACGGTTTTGGTCGATATATATACGGTTTTGGTCGCAGATATATATACGGTTTTGGTCGATATATATATGGTTTTGGTCGCAGATATATATACGGTTTTGGTCCGTTTACAGTGAAACGCAACCCCGGAGTTTTCAAACTAAAGTCTGCAGCATTTTCAAAAGTCTCCATTTTCGAGGGTCGAAACGCCGGAGTGGTGTAAACGAGAGGCATAACCGTAGCAAAAGTTATGCGTTTTAAAACGAAAATGCACTAGTGTAAACGGGGCCAGAAACAGTTGTGGTTGCTACAAAGTGGTTGCCGAGCAACACACAGACGTAAACAAAGGTGTGTGTTACTTTGTAGCGTCAATTACAACAGCTTCGAACGCGGCTCAGCCAATCAGAATCAAGCACCGGAACTCTCCGCTTTATAATAGATAGTATGTGCTTATTTAAACAAAGATTTAAAAACATCAGAGAATGACAGGAAAAAGTGCAAAAGCAGTTAAAACACACAGATCTACCGTGACATACTGTATGATATTTTACGGTCCTGTTCTTAAGTCCTACATTTAATATAACCGTCAATCGAGAAACGCTGCAGAGTGTAGAGTTCAGTGGAAAATATAACTTTTATTGAAATTGTGAGTGGGTTATAAACAGAAAGTGAGGAAAGAGTAGTGCCTTTATAATCACTCGTGTCGTTTCACTAACCTTCACCTGAAAACCTTCAGCGCTGCCATACATTAAAAGCTCAGCTTCAGAATAAGTAACTTACGGGGATAATACTAGCGCCTGCCAGTGATCATATGAACCGAATCGCTCACCTTTATAACCGCTCTTCCTCGCCATCCTCCTCCTCCTCCTCCTCAGTCACAGATCTACAGGAAGAGAGAACATCTGAAGTTTAACACCCGCCACTGCAATCAAGACCGTGATTAATTAAAACGGTTCAAATCTCAAAACAAGAACATTGAGATGAAGAAAACGGCACTGATGTAAACTGCTGCTGATTCATTGATGAAGTGCATCAGAGCCCGAAAGAAGCGGTGTAATATCTGTGTCAATGCATGTAAGCCACCTCTGAGCAGCATCACACCGTCTGTGTAAAGACAACTCAACAGTGCAAACATTATAATCTCTGGCATGTTTGGTTAGTCCGAACCAAGCCCAACTTAAACAGCACACACTAAGACGGAGTGTAAACAGTCCTGAAGGCTTACTCTGTGCTGAGAGTTTCAGTGGAGGCTCTCTCTCTGATCTACAGGATCCTCAAGTCTACTCCTACTTTACTGGCATGACAATGCATTGCCAAAGCACAGTGTTTACCCTGAATCTAGAACAGATAACCATTTATAAACCTCTCTCTCTCTCTCTCTCTCTGCGTCTCCCAGAAGCAACTAGGGTCGCGAGCTCGTTAGGAACAGAGTTGAGTGGAAGTTACGAACAGAGTTAGAACGATCCTCAGACGCTGAGCTCTCACTGAAGCGATCTGATTCCTCTGAAGCCCAACACAACGCGTCTCACGGAGTTAAACGGAGACAAGAGCGTTCCGCGGTGACGTTACCGGATCCGGTGTCACCGGCTGCTTTATGAGCCTTTAATCAGCAGACTGTCTCTCAGGAAACAGAAACCTAAACTATGCAAGCACGTACGCTCGGCTGACGCACACGCCCGTTCCCAGCGTCACGCGGCGTCAGCACACGCGCACCTGAGCAGGTGAAGCCGCATTCATCGCGCGCTGTGTTTAATGCTACCTGCCAGCGCTGTTTGCCAGAGAGGAGCCGCGCGTCTCAGTTACGCAATCGGAATCTTCCCGCTCCGCGCCTCAGAACCGGATCCGAGCCGCGTCCAAAAGAAGAGAGGCAGAACCGGAGCCGCTCAAAGCGTTGGAAGCGGGACCGAACCCCGGAGCGCGCTGAGGCGGCACTGCACACGTGACCCTGATGATTGACAGGTGTCAAACACTCGTCCAGCACGCGCAGATCACGGCTGTGGAGGATGCGCTTTACTCCGAAACCTGACTGTTTATGCAGCACCTCCCTCCCTCTCTCTGTGTGTGTGTGTGTGTGTGTGTGTCTCTCTCCCTCTCTGTGTGTGTGTGTGTGAGTGTCTGTGTGTGTGTGAGTGTCTGTGTGTGTGTGAGTGTCTGTGTGTGTGTGAGTGTCTGTGTGTGTGTGAGTGTCTGTGTGTGTGTGAGTGTCTGTGTGTGTGTGAGTGTCTGTGTGTGTGTGAGTGTCTGTGTGTGTGTGAGTGTCTGTGTGTGTGTGAGTGTCTGTGTGTGTGTGAGTGTCTGTGTGTGTGTGAGTGTCTGTGTGTGTGTGAGTGTCTGTGTGTGTGTGAGTGTCTGTGTGTGTGTGAGTGTCTGTGTGTGTGTGAGTGTCTGTGTGTGTGTGAGTGTCTGTGTGTGTGTGAGTGTCTGTGTGTGTGTGAGTGTCTGTGTGTGTGTGAGTGTCTGTGTGTGTGTGAGTGTCTGTGTGTGTGTGAGTGTCTGTGTGTGTGTGAGTGTCTGTGTGTGTGTGAGTGTCTGTGTGTGTGTGAGTGTCTGTGTGTGTGTGAGTGTCTGTGTGTGTGTGAGTGTCTGTGTGTGTGTGAGTGTCTGTGTGTGTGTGAGTGTCTGTGTGTGTGTGAGTGTCTGTGTGTGTGTGAGTGTCTGTGTGTGTGTGAGTGTCTGTGTGTGTGTGAGTGTCTGTGTGTGTGTGAGTGTCTGTGTGTGTGTGAGTGTCTGTGTGTGTGTGAGTGTCTGTGTGTGTGTGAGTGTCTGTGTGTGTGTGAGTGTCTGTGTGTGTGTGAGTGTCTGTGTGTGTGTGAGTGTCTGTGTGTGTGTGAGTGTCTGTGTGTGTGTGAGTGTCTGTGTGTGTGTGAGTGTCTGTGTGTGTGTGAGTGTCTGTGTGTGTGTGAGTGTCTGTGTGTGTGTGAGTGTCTGTGTGTGTGTGAGTGTCTGTGTGTGTGTGAGTGTCTGTGTGTGTGTGAGTGTCTGTGTGTGTGTGAGTGTCTGTGTGTGTGTGAGTGTCTGTGTGTGTGTGAGTGTCTGTGTGTGTGTGAGTGTCTGTGTGTGTGTGAGTGTCTGTGTGTGTGTGAGTGTCTGTGTGTGTGTGAGTGTCTGTGTGTGTGTGAGTGTCTGTGTGTGTGTGAGTGTCTGTGTGTGTGTGAGTGTCTGTGTGTGTGTGAGTGTCTGTGTGTGTGTGAGTGTCTGTGTGTGTGTGAGTGTCTGTGTGTGTGTGAGTGTCTGTGTGTGTGTGAGTGTCTGTGTGTGTGTGAGTGTCTGTGTGTGTGTGAGTGTCTGTGTGTGTGTGAGTGTCTGTGTGTGTGTGAGTGTCTGTGTGTGTGTGAGTGTCTGTGTGTGTGTGAGTGTCTGTGTGTGTGTGAGTGTCTGTGTGTGTGTGAGTGTCTGTGTGTGTGTGAGTGTCTGTGTGTGTGTGAGTGTCTGTGTGTGTGTGAGTGTCTGTGTGTGTGTGAGTGTCTGTGTGTGTGTGAGTGTCTGTGTGTGTGTGAGTGTCTGTGTGTGTGTGAGTGTCTGTGTGTGTGTGAGTGTCTGTGTGTGTGTGAGTGTCTGTGTGTGTGTGAGTGTCTGTGTGTGTGTGAGTGTCTGTGTGTGTGTGAGTGTCTGTGTGTGTGTGAGTGTCTGTGTGTGTGTGAGTGTCTGTGTGTGTGTGAGTGTCTGTGTGTGTGTGAGTGTCTGTGTGTGTGTGAGTGTCTGTGTGTGTGTGAGTGTCTGTGTGTGTGTGAGTGTCTGTGTGTGTGTGAGTGTCTGTGTGTGTGTGAGTGTCTGTGTGTGTGTGAGTGTCTGTGTGTGTGTGAGTGTCTGTGTGTGTGTGAGTGTCTGTGTGTGTGTGAGTGTCTGTGTGTGTGTGAGTGTCTGTGTGTGTGTGAGTGTCTGTGTGTGTGTGAGTGTCTGTGTGTGTGTGAGTGTCTGTGTGTGTGTGAGTGTCTGTGTGTGTGTGAGTGTCTGTGTGTGTGTGAGTGTCTGTGTGTGTGTGAGTGTCTGTGTGTGTGTGAGTGTCTGTGTGTGTGTGAGTGTCTGTGTGTGTGTGAGTGTCTGTGTGTGTGTGAGTGTCTGTGTGTGTGTGAGTGTCTGTGTGTGTGTGAGTGTCTGTGTGTGTGTGAGTGTCTGTGTGTGTGTGAGTGTCTGTGTGTGTGTGAGTGTCTGTGTGTGTGTGAGTGTCTGTGTGTGTGTGAGTGTCTGTGTGTGTGTGAGTGTCTGTGTGTGTGTGAGTGTCTGTGTGTGTGTGAGTGTCTGTGTGTGTGTGAGTGTCTGTGTGTGTGTGAGTGTCTGTGTGTGTGTGAGTGTCTGTGTGTGTGTGAGTGTCTGTGTGTGTGTGAGTGTCTGTGTGTGTGTGAGTGTCTGTGTGTGTGTGAGTGTCTGTGTGTGTGTGAGTGTCTGTGTGTGTGTGAGTGTCTGTGTGTGTGTGAGTGTCTGTGTGTGTGTGAGTGTCTGTGTGTGTGTGAGTGTCTGTGTGTGTGTGAGTGTCTGTGTGTGTGTGAGTGTCTGTGTGTGTGTGAGTGTCTGTGTGTGTGTGAGTGTCTGTGTGTGTGTGAGTGTCTGTGTGTGTGTGAGTGTCTGTGTGTGTGTGAGTGTCTGTGTGTGTGTGAGTGTCTGTGTGTGTGTGAGTGTCTGTGTGTGTGTGAGTGTCTGTGTGTGTGTGAGTGTCTGTGTGTGTGTGAGTGTCTGTGTGTGTGTGAGTGTCTGTGTGTGTGTGAGTGTCTGTGTGTGTGTGAGTGTCTGTGTGTGTGTGAGTGTCTGTGTGTGTGTGAGTGTCTGTGTGTGTGTGAGTGTCTGTGTGTGTGTGAGTGTCTGTGTGTGTGTGAGTGTCTGTGTGTGTGTGAGTGTCTGTGTGTGTGTGAGTGTCTGTGTGTGTGTGAGTGTCTGTGTGTGTGTGAGTGTCTGTGTGTGTGTGAGTGTCTGTGTGTGTGTGAGTGTCTGTGTGTGTGTGAGTGTCTGTGTGTGTGTGAGTGTCTGTGTGTGTGTGAGTGTCTGTGTGTGTGTGAGTGTCTGTGTGTGTGTGAGTGTCTGTGTGTGTGTGAGTGTCTGTGTGTGTGTGAGTGTCTGTGTGTGTGTGAGTGTCTGTGTGTGTGTGAGTGTCTGTGTGTGTGTGAGTGTCTGTGTGTGTGTGAGTGTCTGTGTGTGTGTGAGTGTCTGTGTGTGTGTGAGTGTCTGTGTGTGTGTGAGTGTCTGTGTGTGTGTGAGTGTCTGTGTGTGTGTGAGTGTCTGTGTGTGTGTGAGTGTCTGTGTGTGTGTGAGTGTCTGTGTGTGTGTGAGTGTCTGTGTGTGTGTGAGTGTCTGTGTGTGTGTGAGTGTCTGTGTGTGTGTGAGTGTCTGTGTGTGTGTGAGTGTCTGTGTGTGTGTGAGTGTCTGTGTGTGTGTGAGTGTCTGTGTGTGTGTGAGTGTCTGTGTGTGTGTGAGTGTCTGTGTGTGTGTGAGTGTCTGTGTGTGTGTGAGTGTCTGTGTGTGTGTGAGTGTCTGTGTGTGTGTGAGTGTCTGTGTGTGTGTGAGTGTCTGTGTGTGTGTGAGTGTCTGTGTGTGTGTGAGTGTCTGTGTGTGTGTGAGTGTCTGTGTGTGTGTGAGTGTCTGTGTGTGTGTGAGTGTCTGTGTGTGTGTGAGTGTCTGTGTGTGTGTGAGTGTCTGTGTGTGTGTGAGTGTCTGTGTGTGTGTGAGTGTCTGTGTGTGTGTGAGTGTCTGTGTGTGTGTGAGTGTCTGTGTGTGTGTGAGTGTCTGTGTGTGTGTGAGTGTCTGTGTGTGTGTGAGTGTCTGTGTGTGTGTGAGTGTCTGTGTGTGTGTGAGTGTCTGTGTGTGTGTGAGTGTCTGTGTGTGTGTGAGTGTCTGTGTGTGTGTGAGTGTCTGTGTGTGTGTGAGTGTCTGTGTGTGTGTGAGTGTCTGTGTGTGTGTGAGTGTCTGTGTGTGTGTGAGTGTCTGTGTGTGTGTGAGTGTCTGTGTGTGTGTGAGTGTCTGTGTGTGTGTGAGTGTCTGTGTGTGTGTGAGTGTCTGTGTGTGTGTGAGTGTCTGTGTGTGTGTGAGTGTCTGTGTGTGTGTGAGTGTCTGTGTGTGTGTGAGTGTCTGTGTGTGTGTGAGTGTCTGTGTGTGTGTGAGTGTCTGTGTGTGTGTGAGTGTCTGTGTGTGTGTGAGTGTCTGTGTGTGTGTGAGTGTCTGTGTGTGTGTGAGTGTCTGTGTGTGTGTGAGTGTCTGTGTGTGTGTGAGTGTCTGTGTGTGTGTGAGTGTCTGTGTGTGTGTGAGTGTCTGTGTGTGTGTGAGTGTCTGTGTGTGTGTGAGTGTCTGTGTGTGTGTGAGTGTCTGTGTGTGTGTGAGTGTCTGTGTGTGTGTGAGTGTCTGTGTGTGTGTGAGTGTCTGTGTGTGTGTGAGTGTCTGTGTGTGTGTGAGTGTCTGTGTGTGTGTGAGTGTCTGTGTGTGTGTGAGTGTCTGTGTGTGTGTGAGTGTCTGTGTGTGTGTGAGTGTCTGTGTGTGTGTGAGTGTCTGTGTGTGTGTGAGTGTCTGTGTGTGTGTGAGTGTCTGTGTGTGTGTGAGTGTCTGTGTGTGTGTGAGTGTCTGTGTGTGTGTGAGTGTCTGTGTGTGTGTGAGTGTCTGTGTGTGTGTGAGTGTCTGTGTGTGTGTGAGTGTCTGTGTGTGTGTGAGTGTCTGTGTGTGTGTGAGTGTCTGTGTGTGTGTGAGTGTCTGTGTGTGTGTGAGTGTCTGTGTGTGTGTGAGTGTCTGTGTGTGTGTGAGTGTCTGTGTGTGTGTGAGTGTCTGTGTGTGTGTGTGTGGGTGTCTCTCTCCCTCTCTGTGTGTCTCTCTCTCTCTCGGTGTGTGTGTGTGTGTGTGTCTCTCTCCCTCTCTGTGTGTCTCTCTCTCTCTCGGTGTGTGTGTGTGTGTGTGTCTCTCCCTCTCTGTGTGTGTGTGTGTCTCTCTCCCTCTCTCTCTCTCTCTCTGTGTGTGTGTGTGTCTCTCTCCCTCTCTCTCTCTCTCTCTGTGTGTGTGTGTGTCTCTCTCCCTCTCTCTCTCTCTCTCTGTGTGTGTGTGTGTCTCTCTCCC